TGTTCCACATTGGGACCATATTAAACCTTTCTCCTCAGTTGTATTTTAGTTTCAGGTTCACACCAGAGTGCAGTGTTAAGGAAAGGCAGCACTGTCAGGGGAGCTGTCTTTCTGCTAAAATATGAAACTAGTGTGTGCTATTCAGGTCATTCCCAATGGGACCAATTGAAGAAACTCCATGACTTCTTCATGCCCATCCCACTATTTATCCCCCAATCACAGTCACTGTAGCAGACAATATAATGACTAAAATTTCTAGACAGTAATTGATTTAAAGTTTACACAAGTGCAATCAATGATGCCCTGCACATAGGGAAATCAAGTGGAGCAGGTGGCACCCATTGCTCCAAGGCATCGTCTATGAGGAACCGACTGTACTGCCCAGCTTTTAATAGTGGTCATCAGTAACCCAAGATGGAGTGGCACACAGCTACTTTCTAGAGGAAACTGCGAAAGGGAAAGAAGTGACTTGACGACTACTGATAAGGAAATGGTGACCAGTGCTACAATGTGCATGGCCTTCTGAGGACAAATCACAATGATGATTAGCTTGGAGAAGGACAGACTCCTTTGACGCCAAATTCTGAGTCATCTCAGGCTTGGTCCATCTTGATCCTATGCTAAGCGCCAAGAAGATTCAGCCTCCTGTCTTTCTGTATATCAGAGTTAAATACTCAATGCTGCTTTTGACAATAGCCCTACTCTCTGCTGCCATTTCAACTATTCACAGTCTATATTTGAGGATAGATCCACCTTCCCCAGTCAACCATCCTGCCCAGTCAACTACAACAAGAATAGAAATTCTAAACAGGTGCAAAATCTACACTTAGCCTTAACAGAGAAGTTAGTCAAATCAAAGATCACAAAAATGGATAGCTTCCCTGTGAACCCATTTGTTTCTTCTAATAGCAAAGCAAGGAAGCATCCAACTCTGCTAACATAGCTTTGTTTCAACTGAAATGAAAGATGTAGTTGCTCATCTCAGTAAATCTTTCAACATTCAACAATCATTGTCTCATAGACATTATCATAGCTACTTTCACCTTCCAGTGGGATGCAACACTAATGGATCACAGATTGGTAAGAGGAGGGAATTCCAATAGAATGAAAATCCATCAGGTTTTATAAAGGGTGGACAATCTGCTCCACCAAATTTCCACTCAAACAGAGAAGACAAAGTATCTACCCGTACTGAGTGAAACCCCAAACACTGCCACGCGAGGTGTAATAAAGGTAGGTCAATTTAACATCATGTCCCCTCTTGTACCGTATAAATTCTAATATTGGATGCAAATCAATAACTTTGGGCTTTAGAACCAGGAGGGACCCCTTGACACATATTCTGCTCATGTCCCCACATTCAGACATTCTGTGCGCTAATAGCAAGAGTTCCAGGAGCCTGACAATTCTCAAGGTATGGACAATAAGCTCAATCCTTCCCCAGTGAGAAAGAAAGGTCACTCAAAATGAACAAGACCTTCCTCATCAGCACATGCATCTCCATCTCTGGCAAAATACAGATCCCACCCCCAAAATATCAATCATGTCACATGCAGAACAGCTGCCAATCAATGAAATCTGACCTTTGCCTGGAGCTGTGGAAATACCACAAAGTCTGTGGTCCATTCTTGGAGACGCACACAACACCAAGTATGCTCTCAACACTGCATTTCACCCACAAGTTACTCGGAATAACACCTCAATCAAAGTTTAGAATCCTTTCCCACTGAGTTCAATCTAACTCATCCCAAACCAAAGACCAAAGCCAAAGCAGCTGCTTCAATTTTCATCCACTCCAAGTTCACTGAAAACACCACTGTAGCGGGACAGATATCTAACAATGATGAGTCAAAATACAGAAGGGAGATAGAGGGCTTGGTGACATGGTGCAATGAAAGCAAATCTGTCTCTCAACGTCGGCAAAACTAAAGAACTGATCATTGACTTCCGAAAGAAAGGGGGAGAACACCCTCCAATCTACAACAATGGAACTGAGGCTGAGACAGTGAAGAGCATCAAGTTCCTCGGAGTGACGGTAACTGACGACCTGTCCTGGACTTCCCACGTAAATGCAACAGTCAAGAAGGCACAACAGCGCCTCTTCTTCCTCAGGCAGCTCAGAAAATTTGGCATGTCCATAAGGACCCTCACCAACTTCTACAGATGCACCATAGAATGCATACTGTCCAGGTGCATAACGGCCTGGTACGGCAACTGCTGTGCCCAGGACTGTAAGAAACTACAGAAGGTGGTGTGCGTAGCCCAGACCATCACGGAAGCCAACCTTCCATCCATGGATTCCATTTACACAGCTCGCTGCTGTAGAAAGGCTGCCAACATCATCAAAGACCCATCGCACCCTGGTAATGACTTCCTACAACCTCTTCCGTCAGGCAGAAAATACAGAAGCCTGAACACACGCTCAAGCAGGGTCAGGAACAGCTTCTTTCCGGTCGTTATCAGACTGTTGAATGGACTCTAGCCTCAAATAATGTAACCTGTGTACCTCTAAGTCTTTTTGATCTGTACATCCTTTGCTTGCTGTGATCTGCCTGTACTGCTCGTAAACAAAGCTTTTCACGAAATTTCGGTACACATGGGAATAAAATAGCAATCAATCAATCAAAAATCAATCAATCCTGTCGCTGAAACCCACATGTTCCCAGGGCAGAAACTGAATGCTTTCAATCCTTTCTCTCAAGTACCATACAGTCAGGAAGTGCAGTGCTTTCATAAATCATGTATGGAAATGAATCCTGAATTGGAATAAATGCATGCATGTAAACAGAACGTATAAAAATTATGAAATTCCTTTCCTGAAAGAACTTGTACATATGATGCTTTTCACAGGGCGGCACGGTGGCTCAGTGGTTAGCACTACTGCCTCACAGCCCCAGGGACCAGGGTTCGATTTCACCCTCGGGCGACTGTCTGTGTGGAGTCTGCACGTTCTCCCTGTGTCTGTGTGGGTTTCCACTGGGTGCTCCAGTTTCCTCCCACAGCCCAAAGATGTGCAGGCTAGGTGCATTGACTGTGCTAAATTGACCATAGTGTTCAGGGATGTGTAGATTAGGTTGGTTGTATGGTGATGGATCTGGGTGGGATGCTCTGGGGGTCAGTGTGGACTTGTTGGGCTGAAGGGCCTGTTTCTGCACTGTAGGGACTCTATGATAAATCAGGTTTTTACAGACAGCTGAGTAATTCTGAAATGTAGGAAACATGCAGCCAGTTCACAAACAACAACATAAATCATTTATTTTTTTCATGATATTGGTTGAGAGGTAATTGTTGCCGAGAGCACCAGGAAATGTGCCCTGATTTTCTCTGTACTGTTCCAAGTGAGCTTTGACATCCATGAAGAGGATAAATGGAACCTCGGTTCATCCTCTCATCTAAGTGAAAGCACCTTTGCCAGTGTAGCATTAATGTGTCAGCAAGATTCCACTAAAACTTTGAATGGAGCTAGGTAGCTCACAGGTTTGCTGGCTCAGATGATGAGAGCTATCAATGTGCAAAGATCAAGCAGTTCCTCACGGTAGTGTTTAAGATCCAAACATTTTCAACTGTTTCATCAATGACTGTCCCCCCTCCCCCCACCATAAGGTCAGAAGTGGGGATGTTAACTAATGATTACACAATGTTCAGCACCATTTGCTACTCCTCAGATACTGAAGTTGACCATCTCCAAGAAAAGAGAATCTAACCATCAGCCCTTAGTATTCAATGGCATTACTATCATTGAATTCCCCACTATGAACATCCTGGGGGTTACCGTTGACCAGAAACTGGAACAGCCATATTAAAAACTGTGGTTGCAAGCAGAGGTCAGCAGGTCTATGTCTATAACACACAAGTCATACAGTCATACAGCAAGGACCATGTCAGCAGTGTGATGGAATACTTTCTACTTGCCTGAATCAGTGTAGATCTAATGACATACAAAAGAAGCTCAACATTATATAGGCCAAAGCAGTCTACATTGCTTGTATTCCCATTCCCAACATTGACTCCCTCCACCCATTGATGCACAGTACCAGCAATGTTTACTAAAGTGCACTATAGCAACACCTTCCAAACTTGCAAACTTTCACCTAGAAGGACATGGGCAACATATATTTGAGAACACAACCACCTAAAAAGCTGCCCTCCAGTCACATGCCATCCTTACTTGGAACTATACAGCCTTAGAATTGCTACAGTGTAGAATGAGGCCATTTAGCCCATCAAGTCTGCAGTGACTGTCCAAAGAGCATCCCACCCAGATCAAGACTCAGCCCCAGCCCCAGCCCCAGCCCTCTCACTAACCCTGTAACCCTGCATTTCCCATGGCTAATCCAGCAAGCCTGCAGATTCCTGGACACAATGGACAATTTAGCATGGTCAATCCACCTTACCCGCACATCTCTGGACTGTGAGAGGAAACCACAGCACCCAGCAGAAACCCAGGCAGATAAGGGGAGAACGTGTAAACTCCACACAGACAATCACCCAAGGCTGGAGTCGAACCCAGGTCCCTGGTGCTGTGAGGCAGCGGTGATAACCACTGAGCCACCATGTTTATCCAACAGTCTTTCTTTCACTATCAATAGATCGAAATCCTGGAACTCCCATCCTTGGAGAACTGCAGGTGTACTTAGACCAAGTGGACTGCAATCATTCAAAAAGGTGTCTCACTACCACAATCTCAGAGGCAATTAAGGATGAGCAGAAAATGTTGGAATTTCCACCGATGCTCACTTCCCACGAAAGAACAATTTAAAAAGCAAATTAAGTATTTAAAGACAGTACAATAAATTAGTTCATTTAAACTTGTGAATTCAATATTTCACTGAGTACAGGCAAAACAAAATACTGCTACATTTATTTCTTTTTCTTTAAATTGTTTATAAAATGTTAATTAAACATTTTTTTACTGAGAGATAAGAATGGACTCCAGTTAGGAGACAAACTGCCCTGCCTTCACTAGCCAATTCTCAGAAATAGATACATTCAGAACTCACCGGTTGTCCTCCCCACCATCGAGGATTCAATTTTTCTCTACCTCGAAGGCTGAAATTGGCATCAAACACAGGGTCATGCATCAAGTTGCCAACAATTCCATGTGATTCAGGATAAAGTCCCTTTGTACGAAAAAGCGAAGCAAATTGATTAGATGTGAGTTCTATTCGTTAGAATTTACACAACCTTTCTCACACCAAGTAATTTCACTAGGGAAAATATGCATCTAAGACCTGAACATAGAAAATTAGAACTGGAATTCAAAGCTGTATTTCTACATTATTTATGTAATAGGAAAGAGCAGGAAAACCAACATTTGTGTTTGCTTGGAAAGAAAAAAAAACACTTTAAATGGGTTTAATACTCCCAACGTTTTTTTCCTCTTATTTCAGTTTCCAATGTATTGCTTATTCACCAATTTCGAAACCTGGACTCCATTCTGCACATAAAATGTGCTGAAATTTTGAAAGAGGGGGAAAAAGGTATTGACACAGCATTAATAAAAACACTATGGCCATTAATGAATCTGATATATTTCCTTTTCCTATGTAGACAGGGTCTCCACTATTTTGGTACATTAAGGCTTGTTTATCATGAAATTAGTTTAAAGCAGGTTCTCAACAAAAAAGTAAAAAGAAGAAGAAAAAAGACTACACATGATTACCAGTAAGGTTTTTTTTAAGCTCTAAAGACATTGCTTGCTCAATTAGTTCCCAGCCCTCACTTAAGCTTCATAGGGCCACATGTATCATTTAAAAGAAAATAACCCCCACACTACTGTCCTAAAAGCCTCCATTATTAATTTTTCTTCTAAAAAATTATCTTCCTGAGGAGACTGACAGCATATTGCAGTCTGGTACCCTCATCTATCAGCAAATGTTTAGTGTGTTGGCAGCCCATACATGAGTAATTTAATATAAAAGTCATCACAAATAAGCCTTATCCATCCTCACCAGGCATTCATGTATGAACTTTCAGCAGGGTCTACAAGCAGCAATCAGACCAGAAAGAAAAAAAATATACAAAATGCTGGAAACATTTGTCAGCAGCTAATAAGAAAAATCACAGGTTAGCTTTGCAAGTATCGACTTTCTGTCTTTTTTTGTGTATGTTTTCAATTTCAGCAAATAAATTCTTTTTTTTACCTCTCCCCTTCCTTGGAACACTTGGGTGAATTGAAGACTTTTATTTACTGCCTCTGATGACATTGACTAAAATGACAGGAACAAGGAAATATACCTGAGACTTTCCAAATCAACATAGCACAGTACCATGCCATGCAGTGCACCCATCTACAGGACTATCATGTGAATTAATTAATTCACAAAATGAAAAGAACAGTTTGATTTCTATCAAAGTACATACTAACTAATATCAAAATATATCCAATTTGAATTCAAGAAATCCAATAACTCAATATTTCACATTCAATAATTTGCCAGAAATAAAGAAACTGGATCACTATTAAAATGCATGATGCTACTTTTACAAAAGTTAACACTTACAGTAGCAAGGGTGTACATATTTGGGAAGGTTTTAGTCGGATAAACAGGCCTCATGTAGGGGGCATGAGTTCCACACGATCCTAAATACAAAGAAGGTTGTTACCATCTGCAAAAATGTGTGTTACAATATTGACACTATGCCACTGATCACTATGGGGAAGAAATATGAATATGTAGTCTTCTTTAAATCATGCAGAATATATCGCTTGAATTTGGCGTAAGGTTCTCTGAAATTATCAACTCGCATTTTTAAAAATGCATTTACATTTGGAAATGCTCAGCATCTGTATTTATTTTTCAATCATTACACAATGGTTGAACAGATTTTGATGAAGGCAAGATGTGTAGCATCACTTCAAATGCACATCTGGAATTCATCATAATATAGGTTAGTAGGTCTGTATGAAGCCCAAAACCTTACAACAGTAAAAATCAGGGACAAAATAAAAATGAAAGATAGGTATTACACTGTGTTAATACAAGGAACATACTAATAAAACCTCTGGAGTAGATTTAGTGCAACTTTCTAAAACTGGTGATAAGGACCAGCACAAACAAAAGTTAAGAAATATCATAAATGCTGGTAATCTGAAATAAAAACTAAAACAAATGCTGGGAAGTCCCTACATATCAGACAGCATCTGTGCAGCAAAACTAAATGACCATTTCAGATTGATCACTTTTCATCAGAACTGAAGAAAGACCGAAATGTAATGGGTTTTAAAGCCAACAGAAGGGAGAAGTACTGACAAAACAGAAGGTCACTGTTAGGATGGAAGACACAAGAGATGAACTAACAAAAGATTTAATGATTCAGGCCAAGGACAGAAAGGTCAGAACGGAAGCAAGGTGGAGAGTTGAATTAAAAAGTGACAGAGAGCTCAGAGTCATGCTTGTGGAATGAGATGGAGTTTCTCAAAGTGGTCAGCCGGTCCACATTTTGTCCTTGTAATGTAGAGAAGGCCACATTGTGAGCAGTGAATACAGTGTACTAGACTGAATGTGTACAAGTAAATTTACTGTTTCATTTAGGAGTGTTTGGAGCCTTGGTGATGAGAACCCACTTTGCACCCTTCCTGCTTTTTATTTCTATTGAGGTCAATAGAGACGTCGAACAGTCTACCAATTGACCAACAGCCATTTTATGTTATTGCATTAAATCAGAATCTACTCCACTGTATCTGCACAACAACTCAAATGTTACAGGTAGTCAAAATAAGACAGTTACTTTGAGAGAGTCTCTTGTGTACAAGCAAAATACAAAAGGTTTCTATGCTGTCACAGTAGAGACAGAGAATTCTACTTTCTCCAAAAGCTTGTGTTTTTTTAGGTTTTCAAGGAGTACAGGGTTTGCTTCAAACCACAGATTTGTTTGACTTTACTTATGAATGTTATATTACTTTGTGTAAATCAAACAGAGCTGAAAATAAGGACAGAAAACACATTTACCTAAAGTGATTAACTCCTTCCTACATGGAAACTCTAATTACTTCATGCAGAAAATAGCTGGATCCTACTGGACAGTTTGGAAGAAAAACTGCTATCAGAGCAGTATCTCCCTCAACTTTTCTCTCGTGGTTTATAGTTTGAAAATGAATTATCTGCTGAAACAATCCACTTTCAAGCAGAGAGCTACTTGCTTGAAGTAGACATAAAGTGGGAGGTGAACTGTTGATGTAAGGGAGAGGGTTTCCAATGTAAAAGATGTCCATGTTCTGAGACTGTGTCCTACAAAGTTTGTCTTTGCCAACAGATTACTTTGATGTGGACGATATAATGGTGCAGAACATAATGCTGCCTGGCCAATGTGTTCAGTAAAGATATTTGCATTGCATTGTCAGTGAAACAAGTTTAATTAGACATCCTCAAATCAACTGTCTCAGACTGTGAGCTTTTCAACTGCTGATTACTTTTCAATGCTAAACCATTTAAGGATAGGGCTGGTGAAAGAGGGTAAGATAAACATTACACTTTAAAGTACTTTGCCATACACAGATACATGACCATTAAAAGTGATCTGAATTTACAGAGCACTATAGCATAAATGGAGCTGATTTACTAAATTTGGAGGAGATCCCACTTTTTAAAATGCACCATTCATGGTGCTGGAGTCAGTCCGAATCAACTCAGAATTCATTAATTGCAGATTTTTAGACAGTTTGAATGACCTGAAGCATTATGTTATGTTTACTGCTAGTTCAAATCTTATTTCAGCTTACAAAGAATTATCTCAAAGATTTGCCTGAAATAAAGAAGTAAGTAGTATCAAAAGAAGCAGTTTCAGAGTTAGGAGAATTGAAGCTTAGACTTTGGAGGACTAAACCTCTGAGTCCACCAAAGTGGAATATGTTTATTTCTGATGTTTATTTTTACTTTAAAAGTATAATCAGACATCTTAACACCACTGTTCCTTGTGTCAATATTATATATGAGTTGTTAGAAAATAATTTCAACATAAAAATACATTTATGTTCAGAATTTGCATGAAAAGTAAGTAACATTTGACATTTTAATATTTCAAATGCTCAACATTTAATAACGTGCTTTTAGGGAATCATTGGGTCATAGTAGTTCAGATCAAGAGTTATACAAAACATACATATGTGATACACGAAAAAAGAAACTGCTGGAGACACTCAGCAGGTCTGGCAGCATCTGCGGAGAGAAAACAGAGTTAATATTTCAATTCAGTGACCCTCCTTTAGTACCCATCTCTGTACAGATGCTGCCAGACCTGCTGAGTTTCTCCAACAATTACTGTTTGTGTTAGTTCCAAATCTCCAGCATCTACTGTCTTTGCTTTGTTATTGGTATGTGACAGTTGTTCATAGAAGTACAGTAATGTTCATTTCATACATTAATGCACCACAGATGCCAATTACAACTCATTTACAACCATCACCTTAAAAACTAAGATAATCACACATGCACACCATTGAGTATCTGAATGGATACAGTGAAATGTGTATGACCTCTCAAAAACAAGCCGCTCAGAATCATCAAAGCAACATTTCATCCACAGTCACTCAACCTGAATTTGTTCCAATCTATCCTGATGGAGACTGCATCAATTCCACCTTTCAGTAGGCACAAAGACTGGCCAAAACTTATTACAATGCAAGCTTTTCTAGAAATAGCCTTACTTAGTTTTTCAATGTTGGGCATGACCTTGCCTCCTTTCTTCATATATGAAGCTCGAAATCCATCCACAGAGAAAATAATCAGTGGTGGACGGGTGAAGCTAAAATGTGAAATACATAAGTTTTAACGCAAGGAGTCCATAACAAAGCCTATGCTGATCATGTGTGTATTACATTCAGTGACACTAGATATTAATCAATTATACATAAACATTTGTTCTGCAGATGTCAAACATATATAGCCATAAAAATATACAGAAAAACAGTTGAATTCAATTTAAGTGACCATCACTAGTGACGATTATTTGGACATAATGATTGATCTGTCTTATCATAACAATAAATCAGGTGATTCTATATGGTTACATAGAATCAGCAAAGGTTCTATTATAGTAGTCAACATGAGGAAGCATGTTGCAATCACTGGGCGGGCGACCACAAATTCTTTTCTGGTATGAAATAATCGATCTTAATGGAACATGTATTGCTATTAATTACTTTACATTTACAAAATAAAAATTAGCACATTCATACTGAAATTAGGGTATCTTATCATTTACACCATTTGCACCTCACCCACACAAACATCTAATACTTTACTTCTCTACATGACTTACCTGTTTGATTGTGCACAAATTTTGCCATGCTTTGAGAGGAGCAGACATATTCCCACATATGGTAACAAGTCACTGTTATCACAGAATAATAAAATGGCGCAACACAGGAAGTCCATCAGCTTTTCAATCAGGTATTCAATTTGTCCAGCAGCCCAGTAATTGATTTTCCTTTCACGTATTTGTCAAATTCCCTTCTGAAAGATGGCATTGAACCAACGTCCACCACCCTTTCAGTTAGTGACTTCCAAATTACAACTAGGTGCATAACTTGTTTTCCTCATGTCTCCTCTGGTCAAATTGCTCACTTTAAATCTCTATCCTCTGGATAACAACTTTTCTGCTACAGAAGAAGTTTATTTTTCTTATTTACTCTGTAAAACCTTGCATAATTTTGAATGCCTCTATCAAATTCTCCTCTCAATTTTATCTGCATTGAAGAGAACAACTCCAGTTTACGTCCCTGACACTCAATTCTGACATCATTCTTCACCTTTTTCTGTATCCTCGCTAAGGCTTTGGCTTTCATCCAATAGTCTGGTGGCCAAAAATGAATGCAATATGACAACAGGCATGGGACTAACCAATGTTTCACAAACATTCAACGTGTGGTCTTTGTACCAGCATCTAAAACACACTGGCCTGGAGTTTCTGCTCAATTTTGCTGTTTTTTTTTCAGCATAATTGACCCTATATAAGCATATTCAATGCAAAGAATCTAATCTAAATTTTAACCACAAATTGCACTAAGTGCAACTCAGGTTTTCACAAACTTTTGCATAAGTTTCAAAAACACAGTGTTAGAAATCTGGCTCACCCAGAACAAGACACTGACCCTAGGATGCAGTACTATTTTCTCAATCGGGTTAGTTTGCAGGCCATCAAGGAGGTTCCAAAAATTAGGTCTAGGCCCGAAGAAGGGTCTAGGCCCGAAACGTCAGCCTTCCTGCTCCTCTGATGCTGCTTGGCCTGCTGTGTTCATCCAGCTCTACACCTTGTATATCTCCAAAAATTAAATTGGATTCCAGTTATTATGACTCTAGTGGGTACACTTTGAAAGGTTTTCAACAATGAAATTGCTAAGGAATTTTATGACTCTACCATTAGTCTAAAAAAGTTTTGTATATTTTTATTATCATTTAGTTATTTGAATGGATAGGTGGTGGATTAATATAATTGATTTCAAATATTTACTATTTGTGATAAACCAATTTTAAGCTGTATTAATTAAGTTGCACTGAGTTTTTTTACTTAAATATAACAAGGAGTATTTCTTAAAGCAATTTTTATTACAATTACCTTTTGAAATGTAATTCTATTTAATTGGCTGAGATATGACTTTACAATTTGTATTATGGAAAAGAGTTTAATTGGAAACTTGGAGAGGGGGTATATCACTTTTCAAAACTTTGGATCTTATCAAAACTTATCAATTTTGGACACAATTTGCACCAAAACTCTCAAGTGGAACCACTACCATATGATTGGTGAATTTTCATAAATGGAACACTGCCTGGTTATGGTAGATTCAACAATTTGTGCTGCCATCAGTCCTAATTTTAAAGGGGATGATGATAAAATAGCAGAGTGCACATAGTCAAATCTAGTATGAAACAGGAGAACAATCAATTATGCTGCTGATCAGATATACAGCTGCTCAAACTGATCATTATGATTAATGTCTAATTTTCAATAGGTCTACTTTCTAATATAAAATCAGCACTACAAATATAACTGCCGTAGGGAACGATAATCTCAATTATTGCAGGACCCAAATGGATATTAGTTTGCACGTACCCTGCTGGACAATCCGGTATCTTCAAATCTTCACATTCTTCACTCAACCAATTTGTTTCGCCTAGTATCAAGGTTTATCATATAATTGACAAAGATTTAGACTGTAGGACTAGCATAAATTAAACTATGAAACAATATCTAGCATATTTTATTCCAAATCTAATCTTTGATTTGATGAGTTCTAAATAGAAAAAAACTACTCAATCTACTTGTATAAAGAGCAACATTCAAAAGAAGATTTTCAAGAGAAAACCTTCAAATATCTGCAAAAACTGAGATTTAAATAAAATCTTACAGAAGTTTTAGAACATACACATTAAATGGTTTTGAAAAATATACAACATATATTCTACTTATACTCAAACATGTAAATATTGTTAGGGACAAGAAAACCCTACAAAAGGACAGACAATTGCAGGAAAACCTGTCAGGAGTAACTCCCAGTATTAAAAGTATTAAAAAAGTGTTCAGTAAAGAAGTTTGACAATATTATAAATTCAACTACAGATATTTCAATTTCTCATGAAAATAACTTGTTGAGACTTACTGATGTTTATACAACACAGGTTTAAACTTTACACACTAACCTATCCCCAACCCCATCCCAAAAATTCTTCATTCTCATTTTAAAACTAATCCTTGAAGCTTTTGGGCTAGAATTTACAAGGGGATGTGGGATTTTGGATCAGGTTCTGGGAGTATAAGCGGTGATTGAGGTGATTTAGACTGTAACACCAAACTACATTGCAGAAATGACTATCTGACCATCAGGAAATCTGGGTCAATAAAAGGTTTCTTTCAGAAACTTGAAAGACTAAAAGTTATTGATGATGCTATTAATAAATGAAAGTGCTGTCCACTTACATTGCCTAGTCAGTTCAAGTCTTCAACCTTCTCTGCTTTTGTCAACTCCAAGAGAGAACATCCTATATTGTAAGTTTTCTGAGACTTGGTCTTGATCATAGTGCTTGAATTTTTTGTTCATTAAAGTTTATGATCAGAAATTGGGATGCACTGACCTCTTCTAAAATCAGTGCTCCCATGCAATGAGATTTCCATCATGTTTGGAGTCTCAAAAGACTTGGGCTCTATATATCAGAAGGGACTATGGAATAATCTAAAATTACCTTTGCACGCAACTAGGTAGTTGGTGCAGCAATCTCCTCTACTCATGCAGTCGTCAGAACACTGACAAACATGTTCCTCATTTCGGGCTTCCCCACAACGGTCTTTGCTGCACTCCCATGCTCGACCTAAAATATGCATTTTAGTAAATTAGTCTTTACAGAGGTTTTGGGAGTTTTTTTTTGCAAATTACCTTCAGTTTGTCCATCTTATATCAGCATTTACATTCATTAATAAGATATCTCAGAATTCTTTAACATAGAACACTGGTGTAAAACAGATTGCTGCATTGGTCTTTTACAAAAGTATTTTTCTTAGTAGTTCACTGACATCAGCAAAATTTCTTGACTACAATATTAACTGTAGCATATGCTTGAGCAATAAAGATTATTACTGTATTCAAATCAAGCAGAATCACTGTGGGGAAAAGCACTTGGACTATGGCAGAGGAGGAAAACGGGTGGAGAAAGGAGGAAGGAGAATAACTGAAGAGTGGAAATCAGGAAGAAAAAGGAATGATGACAAAGATGAAGAGGGAGGAAGAGTGGGAGAGACTAGAGAAGAATAGTGTAAGGAAAAGAGGGAGCAAGGAATGAGGTCAAGGCAGCATGCAGTTTCAGCAGATAAGGTTTAAGAGGAGGATTGGAACCAGCAAGTTATCCATCTCTCAAGCAGTATCACCAATGAAAATGTTTCTGGAGTGGGAAAGCAATGCACTCTCTTTCCTTCAGTCAGCTTGGATTTTAATTTCATTTTGGATCAAAGAAGTTCTTCTCGCTACATCCAAGCACATATTGTCTCAATAATAGTGCAGTTCGTGGCAGAATTCAATTCCTTAAATGAGGGTCAGATTTCCAACTTAACGATGAAAAGATTTGTATTCCACAATAGTCCATTTACCACTGCTACAGTGCCAACGTAAATGTCATGGTAAATTAAAACAGCTCCCTAAGTGATCCAGCAAGGAAACTTGTGAATAACCAGAGGGAGTGTCATTTTGGCTGAAGCAGATGAGAGATGGGGAGAGTTAGAGTAGGTTGACAATGAGACAAAATGCTCATAAGGACAGAGATTCCTGACAGATAATCAGGTATGTTACTGAGAGTATAGCAAGTTAAATTTTAATTAACTTTTCCAATTTCACGTATTTCAAGCTGCTACTTGCCTTTTGGAAGTCTCTAACACATTACTGTAAAGTTACTCAATAGCCACAGTAGTGAAACCATTGCAAATTGTTTATTGACATCTTGTCATGTTATGGACACAATTAATTAATAGTTTCACCGATATATAGTGTGTGTGTATGTATGTATACATATATATATAAAAAATGGTATTGCACTGAATTTTGTGCCCATCTACTATTTAGAAATATAAAACAATGATAGTGAAAAATAATACATAATACATTGATATTAAAGCCAATGTATTGGGTAGAGTGCTATAAAACTTATGAATAAAATAAGTTATTAGTGGCTTTCAACTAATTTATTTATGCCTCATTACTAGAATTAAGGAATTTTTAAAAAGTAGAGTATTGCCAGGCATTAACCAACTGACGATGTCGAGAAAAATTTCCAACTCCAATGAATCAACCAAATCAAATAAATTATACATATTAAAAACATGAACATATCTCCAATTACCACTTCTGTAACATAAACTATATCTGAACAAAACAAAATTAAGTGATCTGCTGCCCAGAGGCAGCAAAATGTAATCAGACTAAATTGGATCCCTTATTAAGTGGCCACCAGGAAGCATTTGACAGCAATCTGGAAGTTTTGACTCTGTAATAGGTACCACACAAGAAACATTTTAGGCTCCTTAGAGATGTATAAAGCTTAATCCCAACCTGTCCAGCACAGTGTTGGCAGTGTGGTAAAATGACTTTATTTGATTGGAAAAAAATGAAGTTTTGCAGAAAACCTATTCCACAATTTAAAAAAAACTTTGATAAATGGTAGCATTTCCCAGGTTCTAAATATCCACCTGCCCAACATAAAGACTTAGATGCTTCTGTGTTTTTTAAGCCATACACAGGCCAGAATTTGACCCACTTCTCTGGTAACTCACCTTCATTCTCACATCCCCAGCCAGCAATCCCAACCCCTCAGCAATTAATCCTTTACCTTCACCAAAATCAGAAGCTTTACCCACTTCCCATTAGGGGCAGATTTCAGAACCTGCTTCCCAAATCCCAACAAGGTCAGCCAAATTTTGACCTCAGATGTTTTCTATTTTCTGAATCTCTTGCACAGACTCATAACCTATCACATTAACTTAGCATATTGGTACCAGTCTATTTAACTATACTGCAATCTCAAAAATGTTGCAAACCAGCAATTATATTCTGCAGAAAGATCTCAGATGCTTTCTCTTTCTCAAATACCACTTACCAAAATACAAACTTGGTGATGAGAGATTGTTTGGTAACTTTTCCCATGCCATCATCAATGGGCTAAGGCTTTCTATTGAGAAGTAGCAAAACTCACCCAATCAGAAGAAGTAAGTTCCAATGACAGGGGTCCCTATAGATTTCTTAACTGCTCATTGGAAGTTAACGACTATTTCATTTATTGGACTCTCACAATTGTTTCACTTAAAAATTGTTTCATTCAAACATGCTCTTAAACAGCCATCTTCCATCAGCCAGGGATCAGTTAGCTCAGTTGGCTGGATTACTGGTTTGCGATACCAACAGCATGACTTCAATTCCTGCACCAGCTGAGGTTACTGTGAACAATTCTCCTTCTCAACCGTTCCCCTTGCCTAAGGTGTGGTGAGCCACCACCAGTTATCTCTCTCTACAGAGAGAGCAGCCCTGTGGCCTGGTAAGGCAATAGTAACTTCACTCTTACCAGTGGACAAAAAGGCATTATAATCTGGTGCAGAAGCTTTTGCAGAGTTAGGATCAATTAACTGACTGCACAAAGGACTTGTTCTAACACTACATTGTGCCTAAATTAGAAGGTGAGTTACATAGTTTGTTGCGAAGAGTCTCACACGACAATTTGTTAAACTTACCTGAAGAGGGCAGGCAAGCTTAAAGGAATGTGCTTAGAGTCGGAACTCATCAACCATTATCTAATTGGAACACCATGATACTATTGGTAAAAATAATGGGTCTTCAATAGAGCCATTTTTAAACAGCTTAATTTATTCAGAATTTGTTTCACAGTATAATATATCACAGTATACCAGCACTATACAAACTTTAAATATTTTGAATCTAACTAACTCACCTGCTTGCCCTCTTGCCCGAGGATGGGAACGTGATATGTAACCTAAAGAAGGAAGAATATAGAAAAATAAAAAGAAAATGACTGAAATGGAGATGAAAATAAAAATACACAGGACTATAAGTTTTCCTTTGGATATCTTGAGCCAGTGTTGACATCAAATCTATCTTTTAAACTTGGATCAAATACTTTAGGTTATTTCGGGAATAGGTGGAAAAATGGTGAGTTGGTTAAGACTCACACAAGGAGTTGGGGTAGGGGAGAGCTGTTTGCAAAAGTAAAGTCCTCAGTGAATTCAGTGTATCCTCTCAGCCACAGATTATACATGGCAAACAGAAATAAAGTCATAAAGGACACAAAAGAAAGAATAATTAGAGGGTAACTACCCTCAAAAACAAAATAATTCTGAACATACATCAAAAGCATGTTTGACTATCTACTTAGTACCTGTCTTCAAACAAAGTTGATCAAAATCTGAACAGCAGCTGTTATAACTTTTACACAAATTGTCACAACGGCAATTGGGTGGAGTCGCCTCTTGCAGTTCAAAACATCTGCCCCTGCATGACCCAGAAGTAGAAGCTCGGGCTGAATCTGAAAGAACAGTGTGAAAGAAGAACATAAAGATTGGTTAGGGATAGCACTCTATGGAGAATCAAACAATGCAGAAAGTTGTTTACAATGTAATTCTTCAACAGTAAAGGCATTGTCCGCATAGAGTCAACAACTAACAAGCATAGCATTCTAATTAACTTTGTTATCCCTTGCTATGATGTTTGAACATTCATCTGATTGAAAGATATTAATGATGCACAAGATTAAAATTCTAAATGGTATATTGTTCAATTGCACTATGTATCCCAACATTTTTGATGGTAGCTAAAATGAAGTGGCAAGTTGACAGCAAGTTAGGGGGCCAGAAGTAGTCATCATAAAGCTTTCGGGTGATGCATTACCTAATTTCACAGATGTTAGGAAAGTAAAACGTAACCAGAGTGTGAGAGCAAAAGATGGTTTTTATTAAAAGGATATTGTCCAAACAAGAGAATATGTTCATCCAAGGAGATCTCAAGTAACATATGCTCTGGGTTCATTCAAAAAGTTTGTTTTCCCTCAAATGTATTTGAAATGTTGAAGGAAAAAAAAATTCTTTAAGGATCCATTCTTTTGGAATAAATACAAATTTGTATTCCCGCTCTGCAATAACAAAGTAACTACTTGAACAAAACTGGCAATATTGCTTCCAATTTCAATTCTCTAAAAGAGGCACAGTATATCATAACAGACCACAGAATGAAGGGGCAGAGCAGATGGTCTGTTTAGGAAAACTTCAATCAATTATTTTATGAAAGCATACTAGTTATTTTAAAACTATAAAATGTGTGAGTCCTAGGACACTTCGAACCCTGAATACATAAATAAATAGGACAAAATCTATAAATAATTTTCTGCTTTCTGCATCTTTTTTGTAACTTCTGCAATATATTGACACTATAATTGCAACTCCAAAAGTACAGCTATGATAGAATATCTTTGCTATTTGATATTTATTATCTTTTAAATTTAATTTCTATGTCAGAATTATAGAAATTATCCTAAATGTATTAATTCGTAAACTAGCATGTATGGAAAATCTTTGTGTATTTATCCAGTTGGTTTAAACTACATAACATTAATATAAAGTACATTTGTGACATTAATGAAATAAAATTAAAGTAGCAGTGATGTGGGGATTATCACTTCAACAGACTCAGATAACATGGCAAACTAGCCAAATGAATCTTCAGCTGTTGTAACACCTAAATAGTGAATATTACTACTATTTAATAGTTTCAGTATTTTTCTAATCAATACTATAAATTAAAGACAGTTATATTTAATTTCCAATATTTCCAGACATGGACATTACGGTAAACATCAATGGCCATGAAGTTCCATGTAGCTGATGATGACTTTTCTAATGAATGATTAACATGGTGATGCAATGCCTTGAGAACTGATTGAGTAATGATCTGATTACCAGTAAAACCACAACAACTGTAAATGTTAGCTCATTTAACTGTTTTGTAGTTTTCATTTGTGCAAGAATTCAGAACTCATATTGTTTCTCAGAAATATTTCCACAATAATGTATTTAATTTGTTTTAGAATTTATGAAGAACATACTATCAAAATTTCATATTTATTTTAGTCAGTAAGCGCTTACATAAACACCGTTTTCATTTTCATGCAAAACAAATCTTAATTCCGGTTACTTATTAAAGTATCTTCCAGACTGATAATTTGGATATTTACTTTAGATTTCAAAGTGAAAACTAGATATCTTGTCAGTTTCCTTTCTAGTTAATGCTAGCAATTTGGCTATAAATTGATGTATGATCATGAACTCTGTTACCACACATTGACTTTAACAGCTTTTCATTAATTTTCATATTCAAGTTATTTCAATGTTTAATTCAAAGTAAACTATCCATTCCTCAAGAAAATAAATGCATTTTGATACAAAATAATTACTTTGATGAGGAATTTACAATATTACTAATCAATCTAAATTTGTACATAATGGCAAAAAAAACTCAAATCACTTAAGTTTAGGGATGCGTAGTCTGTAAATTACACTGCACAACTGCATCATTTAAAAGCTGAAAGACAGGGAAATTTGTTGGTTACATAATTAACGCAAAACACAAGGGTAAATGTTATATTAGTTTACACACATCCTAATGGGTATAAGAATCTTTCTCATTAATAACAAGCAAAGTAGTTCAATTTAGGTTGAATTTCTTGCCATGTAAAAAAATCCAATACTTAATCTGCAAAACATACTAACTACAAATTCAGTAGCCAATTGAAAGTTCTGGACAAAGAGTAAACTGGGAATATTTATGTTTTCAACAGCCAAACATTAAATATTTCCAAAATTAAACCTTAAAATTCTAAAAATCTGGTTGCAGTTTTAAACTATGATCTGTGTCTCAATGCTTGGTACATTTACACACATTTCCACAATTGTAATTTCTCTCAGCATTACAGTTGGTGTTGCAGCTATTCTACGGTACTTGTACACAACAGTGCTAGGTTGTTTTTCACTGGAGCATTCAGAAATAATGCAGAGAAAATTACTTTAATGCTCCAGCCTGCTCAATGAGAAAAGGTTTCATTGGACATAGGCACTGTGCTCAGTGTCCATACCATAACATAGAGATAACTACATTCTGAAACCATTTATAGACATATTAATGATAATAGCAATTAAGTTTCAATTTAATAAACCCAGTTTAGTGTAATAGTAAATTACATTCGCTTTGTTAAATGTACTCTCAATTGACAAATGAAATTTTCCAGTGGATGGAGATTTTTCAGGACTCAAAGAGTACCCAATTCCATTGCAGTGCTATAGTCACTGAAACTTCCCATTGAATGCTCAGGACACTGGTTCTATAACATAATCACAATTATCGTGGTTATAGGTGTAAACTGGACAATAATTAACACTGAGGTTATCATTGTTTAACAAGCAATGCGACTTTTCTGGCAGGCACTGTTAACGTGGACCTTGAAGTGCTAACATGCTTGTAAATATATGGTCCATGCCTCCGCCTCCTTTAATGTCAAATTAGAGGCTGTTTAACTATATCGCCTCTGATAGTCAAAGTGAGCATAAACCCTCAGAAAGCTGCCTCATTTCCCCCTATCTGCAACCCGATGCACAGTTCAAAGGTCGGTTGCATTTGTGTCAATTTAAAATGTTGGAAGGAGACGGTTTGCTAGACAAGGAATGTTATAACCTTGCACTGGGCACTAAATAAACCATAACACAAAGTCCGTTAGCAACCCGGTCACAGTTACAACCTCCATCCAATGTAATATTCTTTTTGGCTAAACTTTGTTACGGAGCCTATAGATGAACAATGAAAAATAAACTACCTTCACGATTGATTGTGCCTCCTGATCTTTGCACGCGGCGCAAGCTAAATCCTTGGCAAACATTTACCCCGGCTATGAATGTCAACATTGAAATGATCTGCAAACGAGATTTGTTTTAGTAGATATATCAAAGAAAAGAATGATGATTAGCTGAGACATTGGTAAATCTTTCACTTCAATGCTTGAGCATAGCGGCAGCAATGCTCCTAGACAGCTGCCCGTGTTAATACCCGGGGCTACCAGGGTACATGGTGCTTTTTTTTTCGGAAAGCCAACTCCAGATCCGCAGCAGAGTGAGTAAAGAACAAATGTTACCCGCTTGTCCTGGGGACTCCTCGAAAGGCCCACGACACCACATTAGACATACCTGGGACAACTTCAGGTTAATGCCCTTCGACATGGTTGTTCTTCAGTGAAGAGGATTCCTTCCTGGCAACTGGCTTCCTCAAGGAAGCTCAAGATTGATCCCACCTGTTCAGATTGTCAATCTAAAGCGTGTCTGCCTCTGTCTCACCACTGGATCATGTTTCACATTGAACAGCAGATGAGTTTTGTCTTTTTTGTTTGAAATCACACCTTGTTAATTAAAACAAAAACTTGCCACGTTGTGCTGCAAAGCTCTTTTTTCTCTCTGTCTCTCTCTTTTTAAACAACACGTGGAATTCTCCCTGCCTTTTGTGTATGTTGTTTGAGCTGTGGAGGATCTCAGCTGTTGAAGCAGCTAAACGCCGCCACTGTTGTTTTTCAAAGGCATCTTGTTCTGCACCAAATAGTGGAGCCTTTGTCCGGGAGAAGAGGCAAGGCGAGCTGTGTGATGTACAACTACCCGCGTTACCAGATCTCTTTTAAAACAGCGTTTGTTTAGTACGAGTGCGTTTGTGCCAGCTTCCTGTCTGGCAGTTTTCTCCATTCCCTCGCCCCTCCCCCCCTTCTCAGAGATTATAAAGATGAAAAAAAAGAGGCTGTCGCAATCGTTTGGGCTGAGAGTATTCGTAAACAAAAAAAAATCCCCAAGGCTGGTTAGTAAACATCAGCTAAAACCGTCAACTGACTCCAGCTCGCTGCAGTTTTGAGGGAAAGTTTTGTTTCCTTTTCTGACGCCCTCTTTCGAAATAAGTCATGACCTTTCCCCGGTTACCTGACTGATAAGAAGATCTTGAGACTGCAGTTTTGTGCACAAAGCCTCATTTCACTCGTATCGTGAACAGTTAAAGTCTTGTAGGCAGGAGAAGACTAGAAGTTTGTACTGGAGAAGAACAGGGGGACTGTGCGCTTTACCTTTAAAGAAAAGGCCATAGGAAAGCATGGTATTTTGAGAAAAGATTTATCTCAGGTTGTACTGAACAGTTGATTTAACATTATTTAAAATGAATCACGCGTAAAAGTTTTGGTTGATCATTCAGTAAAAGTATCGCAATGTAACATTAAACTAGCAATTGTAAATTTGTTCAAGTTCAAGAACCAGAAGAAACATTTCGCTATCAAGAAAGCAAGTTTTCTAACCCTTTTATCTTATAGCTTGAATCCTGGTGGATATGAATTTCTGCTTATGTGTGCTGTATAGAATCAGTTGCGCCCTGCACAAGCGTGCACACTTCATGCCACTGCAGTTTATGTTGCCTCACTACGTCTAGCTCTCAAATAAAAGAAAGTTAAAGGAGACGATGTAAATACGTTGATATTACCAAAAATGGTGGTTTTTGGTGTGTCACATTACATGCAAGTAAGTAAATTGTAATCATTATCTTTAGAACAATGGCTATTTATTTTACAGAAATGTGACGATCTCAGTAACTACTAATAGGAGGAACAATTCCATCACTTCTGATAGTAAATCACAAACCACGACCATTACCAACCGTAGACCTGGTTTGCTCATCTTTGGAGTTCTCTATCCCAGAGAGCAGTGAAAGCTTAGTCATTATCTAAATTCAAGACAGAGATTGAGAGATTTCTTGTTATTAATGACATCAAGGAATAGGATATAGCATAAGAACATGTACCTGCATCATATGGACATGTACAAGACAGATTGGTTGTATGTTACAGGACTGGGACTAACATTGTTCCAGGGTAATGCTGATGAGGAGGGTAAATGCTAGGTTGGCAGGGGGACAGGAATCTAATGAGCAGTGTGAATTCAAAGGGAGTAAAGCTAGTAAAAGGTATCAAAAGGAGTAAGCAAAGACAGATGAAGCAATAGCAAGCATCAAATAGGAATAAAATGGAGAATAGTGTTAAAAAAACAGAATTAAAGACATTCTATATGAATTTGCATAGCATTCGCAAAAGGTTGATGACTTCAATGCACAAATTGAGGTAGATAGGCATAATTTAACTGCCATTACAGAGGCATGGCTAATGGGTGGTCAAGATTGTGAACTGAATAGCCAAGGATATTCTACATTTAGGCAGGAGAGATGGAAAGAAAAAGGTGAGATAGCACTCCTAACAAGAAATGATATCAGTATTTTCATAAGGGAGGATCAAGATGTAGAATCAGTTTGGGTAAAGCTAAGAAATAATAAACAGAAGCAAACATTGGTGCTCATTGTTCATAGACCACCAAACTGCAGTGCTAATGTTGGGCATGTTATAAATCAGGAAATTAGAAACACATGTAACATGGGTAGTAATAATGATACCAGGTGACTTCAATATACATATTGTCTCATTGAAAGTTATAGGGAGATGAGGATAATGCATGAAAGTGACATTGAGGAGATAATCAGCTATGATCTCGAATGGTGGGGCAGCTTCAATGGGTAAGTGATTTATTCTTGTTCCTATGGTACTGAAGTAAATGAACAGCCACGATCTAGAATGTCAGATCAAGCTCGGGGAGCTGAATAGCCTACTCCTGCTCCTCTGTTCCTAACTTAAAGGCAAATTCAAAAATCCTCGCTGGGCTTATAAAATCATAAAAGGGAAATAAGAAGAGGGAACAGACCATCTATGAACCAAAAGAGCAGTCTACATATGAAGGCAGTGGGCATGGGTACTTTGTGTAATTTACATTTACATTCACCAGGGAAGATACTGCAAAAGATCATAGTGAAAAAGGAAAGAGTTTTGAGAAACGATAGGCTAATGATTAATGAAAAGAAAGGATGAATAGGAAAGATAGGTTGCATGTAAAGTTAATACATCATCAGGACCAAATGGGAGGATCATCTGAGGATGTTGACGGAATTAACAGTAGAAATTGCGGAGGTATGGGCCATAATCTTTCAATCTTCTTTGCAGGATTTAAATCAAATATTACACAATGGTTTAAAAAAGGGTTAAAGGATCAGCTCAGCAACAACAGACCAGTCAGTTTAAGCTCAGTAGGGCAAAGCTTCTAGAATCAATAATCCTGGACAAAAATTAATACGTACTTGGGTGAGTGTAAATTAAATAAATCATGTTTAATGAATCTTTTTGCATTTTTTGATGAGGTTAAGTGAGAGAGTTGATGAAGTTACTGTTGAAGGAAACTGGGCAAACTGCTTTCAACTAACTGCAGAACCAATAATCTCCAAATGACTACTTAAGTAGCAAAGTCAGTGTTATTGGAACCATCGCCTTTATAGGTAACAACCACTTTGTCACAATCTGGCCAAAGGCTGATTCAAATATTTCTTTACAGCGAGGAAACAGGCCCTTCGGCCCAACAAGTTCACACTGACCCTCAGAGCATCCCACCCAGACCCATGCTCCTATAACCCACCTAATCTACACATCCCTGAACACTACGGGCAATTTAGCATGGCCAATCCACCCTAACCTGCACATCTTTGGACTGTGGGAGGAAACCCGCGCAGACACAGGGGAGAATGTGCAAACTCCACACAGTCACCTGAGGGTGGAATCGAACCCAGGTCCCTGGTGCTGTGAGGCAGCAGTGCTAACCACTCACAGAAAACAAATTGTAGGGTTTTGGAAGAAAGGTACTAGTTGAACAGCTCATGTCGAGAACTAATATAGACTTTGTGAATTGAATGGCCTCCTGAGTGCTGTGACTAATTTACAGTTCTTTAGTTCAAAGTCATGTAGGATACAGTATGTGAACTTTTTACTTGGAGCGGGGCTGAAGCCTTTCATGAATACAAAGCCCAAAATTAATTGAAGCTTATTAAGCATTGAACTAATCATTTATTGTGTAATCAACCTTTCAATATTCTGAACACACTTTGAGGCAAACTTCAAGAATTATGATGACTTCAAATATAATTTCTTTGATGAAATATACCCACAAAATTCCAAGATTTTTTATTAATAATTTCTAGTTTAATCAAGCAAATTTCCCATGCAGGGAAGTAAATATTATTATAGCTCATTTCTCCAACAAGAAAGGTATAAAAGTGAATAGAGCATCTTGATTATTTAATTTGCAAGGGCATAGGAAAACACTCTACCTAAAGGTAGAGATAACACAGTATGGAGCTGGAGGAACACAACAGGCCAGGCAGCATCAGAGGAGCAGGAAAGTTAACATTTTGGGTCGGGACCCTTTTTTCCAATTATTTCTGAGGGATCAGTCTAACCTCAGTGGTGAAAAAATTATTAGAAAGAATTCTAAGGGGCAGAATATATCTGTAAAAGTTCATAGGATCCAAGGCAAAGTAGTAAATTGGTTCCAAAATTGGCTAAGAGGCAGCAAGCAGAGAGTGATGGTGGAGAGATGTTCCTGAAAGTCCATTTTCAGTGGGGTTCTGCAGGAACTGGTACTGGAGCCTTTGCTATTTGTGGTACATATTCATGATTTGAAGTTAAACATAGGAAACATGACAGGAAGATCACAAATAACACGAAAATTGGCAGGGTTGTAAATTGTGAAGATGAAAGCTGTAAACTGCAGAAGGATATCATAGACCTGATCACCTGGGCAGACCACTGGCAAATGGAAAAATGTGAGTTATGGTACTTGGGGAGATCTAATAAGGCAAGAGATTACTCTGTGAATGGTAAAATACATGAAACTACTGAAGCTCAAAAGGATCTTGGTAAGCATATTCACAGAATCCTGATGGTAGCAGGGCAGGTAGATATAAAAAAAAGGGCATAGGTACATATAAAAAGGTACATATGAAAAAAGTGTCTTTCTATCTATGACCTTCACAATCTTAAACACCTGCATCAGATCACCTCTTAACCTTCACTATTCCAAGGAAGAAAACCCAAGCCAATCCAATCTTTCTTCATAGCTTAGACCTTCCAATCCAGGCACGGAATGCTTGGCTTTTTTTAGATGAGGCATAGAATTCAAGAGCAGGGAGGTTATGCTAGAACTATTTCAAATGGTAGTTAGGCCACATATGGAGTATTGCAATTCTAGTCAACACAGTATAAAGGTAAAGCAAAGTCACCATAGCCCTACCAGATCATAGGGCTGTTCTCTCAGAGACAGATAACTGGCAGTGGTTTAACCTCAGAGTCACCACACCTCAAGCAGGGGGAAGAGGTTGAGAAGGAAAGTCTGCCACAGTAACCACAGCTAGTGCAGGAATTAAACCCACACTGTTGGCATTGCTCTGTGTTGCAAATCACCCATCCAGCCAACTGAGCTAACTATAGGAAGGATGTGGCTCAGCTAGATAGGGGCAGAGGAGATTTGCCAGGATTGTTACCTGGGATTAAGATTATGAAGGGCATAGGAAGGATGGATAGGAAGGCACTTTTTCTATTAAAAAAGGTATTAAAAACCAGGGGACATAGATTTAAGGTAAAAAATAATGCTAAGAGGAGAGCCATGGAATTTTGTTTTCACCCAGATGGATTTGGAAGTCTGAAACTCGCTGCCTGGAAAGCTGGTTGAGTTGGAAGCTCCCCTAATATTTAAGTGGTATTCATATATTCTCTGGAGCTATAGACCAAAAGCTACAAAATGAGATTAGTGTAGTCAGATCTTTATTGACCAGAGTAGACATGATAGGCTGAATGTCTTCTTTCTGTGCTGTAAATGTCTATGGGTCAATTCAACATGCTTCTACCTGCTGTAAATGGGATGGCAGCTTCTGAATATTACACCAAGCCACAAACTTTAGCCAGGCTCTATGGGAATACTTTGAGTCAGAAATCATGGATTCAAGTAACATGTATCAGCCTTTAACACAAAGTTCAGGCTGATACTTCAAGACAATACTGATGGAGTGGCAAACTCTTGTGGGTACATTTTTTCAGATAAGATATAAAACTGAGGTCTCATCTCTCCTCTCAAATAGGTGTAAAAGATCTGATGACAATCTTCAAAGGAGAACAGAAGGGTTCCCTCCAATGTCCTGGTTATGATTTAACCCTCAACAAATATCACTAAATAAAAAGTTGTTTAGTCCTGATCACATTGCTGTAGGTGGGATATGCACAAATTAGACATTGTAATATCCACATCATAGCGGTAACTACACTTCAACTCATTGGTGGTAAAGAGGGGTATTCTGAAGTTGTGGGATATTCTGCCAATTCTGAGGAAGGGTCACTGAACCTGAAACATTAATTCTGATTCCTCTCCACAGATGCTGCCAGACCTGCTCAACTTCTGAGCTTGTTTCTGATTTCTAGCATCCGCAGTTATTTTGGTTTCTTTTGTTGGGATATTTTGAAGTTGTGAAATGTGATTTATAAATGAACATCAAACTTCCTTTCTGCTCTGATTTCACTGGCTGGAAAATAAGTACCATCTGTTTCAGGATAACCTCTTGCAATATGAATTGTGAATTACATTGCACATAAACAACCCAACTGCGAATTTGATCAAGAAATAGGTGGAGTGGGAGATGAACTATCTCCACATTCAAATTATAATTCATTATTCACCCATCCTTACTTTGGGTCTTAAACACTGTTTTCTCCAAGCCTAACATTAAGTTAACATTATGATTGATTTCAATTTACAGCATGTAATTTAAACTCTGTTCTAAATCCTAATCCGGGATTATATCTGTGCTACTTGTGTAGCCCTGAATGTTTATCGTAGTAATTCCCCAAAGCATGGAGCTGTGTTCTGCAAACTGAATAATCAAGTTGCTTTGGTAATTTTCAACTGTTCTTGCCACAAATCTCAAGCAAAACTTTTTTTTCAGAAAATGAAATCGTTGGAACCAGTTTAATACTTGATTTACCACAAAGAAATGTTACTGGATTTAATCATAAATAATTGCTACAATATCTTGGAATTCTGTAAATGCTCATTGTGGATTTTAATTTTAAAAATTATGTGCAAGCCATCATAATTCTTACAGCTTGTTTCCAAGTGTGTTCAGGATGTTAAAAAGGTTAGTTGCTCAATAAGTGCACAACGGGATAGACAAGTAATTTTCTCTTAGCTTTGTGTTGGTTGGAGTGCAGAGTTCTCAATATTATTCTCTATTCTTTAATGGGATGTGGACATTTGTTGTTCATCCCTAACTGACACTAGCTTTATATTCCAGATTTATTGACTAAATTTAAATTCCAATAGCTGCCAAAGTGGGATTTGAACTCATGTTACCAGAGTATTATCCTAAATCTATGGATTACCACAAGGCCACTGTTTCCTAATGTTATAATATGGGAGGCCAGAAGGCCTGCCAGTATTTCATACAATGTACCCACAACCTGTCTGTGATTAGACTTCATATTAAATTGCTTCCTATTACAAAATGCAATGACATTTTCAGCTGATTGGAAACACCAGAACGCAGTTCAAGTTGCATTAAAGTATTTTAACTTACCCGCTTTTTTTCCCCGAAAGAGCGTAAGGGTAAAGAGTAGGCTATAATAAATGCCATCAGAAGCAGATAGTCTATTTTTCGGGTTGGAGCTAACTTAAGACTCTGCAACCCAGCCACTCTCAGCCAGGCCATCAATGAGGATAGAAATATGTCTTGGACGTTGGGGGGAAATTGGTGAGATAGGGTGTACTGTAACTAGTAGCTGAATTCCAGTTTGATTGAAGTCAGTGGAATTTAATATACTTCACATAAAGCCCCAGTTTGTGCCATAGGGATAAATTCCTATCTCCTCATCTTTGAGTCAACTCATACAATGTGTGTCAAGAAAAGGGTTAGAAATCTCTAAATGGCGTGTAGCAAAATTAACCTTTACTGTCGAGAATTCGTCAACGTAAGAATTCGAGAGTCCAAGGATGTGCAGGCTAGGTGGATTAGCCATGGGAAATGCAGGGTTACAGGGATTGTGTGGGATGCTCCTCAGAGGGTCAGTGTATACTTGATCGGCCGAGTGGCCTGTTTTCACACTGTAAGGATTCTACGATTCTTTAAAAATTCATCCCCTAAGCGAACATTATTTTAAAAATACACACCTACCAAACTTTCGCGAATGAATGAACTTTATAGGCTTATTTAGCAAGATATCGTTGTTGTTCGTTAGTTAACGTGCTGCTTTTCGAGATGAGCATTCCCAGTGGCTCACAATGGCACTCGGTTTGGTTCCCTTTTGGAATTCCTTATGGAAATGGATAGGAGGGCAGCAGACATGTTCTTAAATATTCCTGTGTTCTCATTTTCTGGACATTAGGGAATAATAAACTGTGATAATGTTTACAATGCACTTTCCTACTCCCACACTCCGCCCCCATCTATATTTCACTGGTCCTTTTCATTCGTAACTTTGCCTCTTAATCTATCGTTTACTTGTTTTTTATTCATTTTTACGAGTCTGATTCAGTTCTTAAATACCCCACCAAGAGTTCAAGAATAACGAGCAGCACATGCTGTAACAAATTGGCTACAGAAAATCTCAGCGGGCTTTTGTATAGCTCTGCGGTGCATTGAAATAATCATTTGCTCTTTTTTCATCAGGACTGTGCACAGTTCGACGGGGGGACTGGGAGCCAATTAAACCATCTGGAAGGTGGAGAGGATGTAGCAAAACACAAGACGGCAACTGCGATTATTTATTTTCGTATATCTGGATCCTTGGAAAGCAGCCTTTAATTGGACGACAGTGATCAATTACTATTGGTTAATATGATGTGGACTTAAGCTGATCTTTTATAGTTGGACAGCTGGGTTTCCTCTGACTCCTCACTCTGAGGTCGAAAGAGAAGCGATCAGAGCTGCCTGAAGACACGTTAGATCTAGTTTAGAACGTAGCTTCTCAAATTCCAGGAGACCGCAACGTTAGCATTCTGCTGGTTTTCTATCTAGTCAGAATACAGCAACGTGAAATTTTTAATTCTATACTCTATTTTGCTTTCTGCAATCGCCGAATGACAGTTGCTGTTTGTGTACAGACAAATAAAATGACCCAGTAGGCAAAAATAGCGGGGTGGCACAGGTGTCTCAGCACTGAGAGAGGGGATCCCTCAAGCATGGTCACATTTGCAGGCTACCCTTGGAAATCAGAAGGTTTGCAGATGTCGGAGGTCCCATGTAACAGCGGCCGAGCCTACAGTGATTTTAACAAGATTCGATGTAAAGTGCACAATAACTTATTTCTGCTTCAGGTGATGCTCATTCCTTTAAAAAAAAATCCCACCGCTGCCAATTACAGGGGCGGCACGGTGCCCCACAGCGTCAGGGCTCCGGGTTCGATACCAGCCTTGGGCGACTGGAGTTTGCACATTCTCCCCGCGTCCTCGTGGGCTTCCTCCCACAGTCCAAAGATGTGCAGGTTGGGAGGACTGGCCATGCTAAATTGCTCACAGTGTCCAGGGATATGCAGGCTGGGTGGGTTAGCCATGGCAGCTGAAGGATTACAGGGGTGGAGTAGGGGGATGGGCCTGGGCGGGATGCTTTTGGGAAGTTCGCTGTGGACTCGATGGGCCAAATGGCCTGCTTCCACGCTGTAGGGATTCTATTCTCTCTCACGTTGCTGCCCATATTCAAATAAGATTTGCACAACCAACTTTATCTAGAATACTGTTCATAATGCTCATGTCCATAAGAAATATTATTCATAATGGCATAATTTCCAGTAGCATTTATGACAAACAGCCTTAAATGGATAAGTAACATCAATTCCACGAAAATAAATGGCACTGCAACATTCTGTGTAAAAATGGACGCGCTGTGAAACGGACAGAAACTTCATTCGGTTTATAGAACAGTCTGTGGGTCTGAATCGTTTCCCGTGAACATCAGCTCCCACCCCCACTGCGGGCCAGGATATATCAGTGACCGTTCACACACACACACACACACTGAACCGCTCAGTTCATCATTTGTCAGCCACATCCGCTTTCAATGCCCTTGGAATTGATTAAGTTGGGAACTGAAGGTCATTCAAAGTGAGTAACTCGCTCGGATAATATCATCGTGTAACAATGTGTGGCCAGTGTTTTCACAGCTCCGTCTCACCAAGGTCCTGTTCAAAACTCTACACCACATCTGGATTTACTCTGCCTTCCCTTCCTCATGGTGTCCGGTTTCACTCTTCCTAATCAGCATTCACTTTTCTAACATCAAGGAAGAGCTGCATTTTATCAATTAAATTCATACCTTGATATCCTGTCAATATTTTTGATTAATTTTCTTAAATCGCCTCATTCAAAGCAATATTTAACTCGATGGAAAAAAAAAGTTGATCTGGTATTATTTTCATTTATTAATGAATCTGAATAATATTTCATGGCCATTGGGTGGAAGGAAGCTTATCTAAACATGCAAGACATCACAAACTATCAAACCAGCAAAACTCGACCACACAAGAAGAAACTCCAGTGAAAGCACAGGGTTAAAAAGGGGCCTACCGTACCAGCTCTCCCATAACAACCATTGTCCTTCATAAACATTGAAGAAAATCGGTCTTTGTTGTGCCTACTGCATTACAGCTATTTGGAGACCAGTTCACTCCAGTTATCAGTTGCGGGCACTGGTTCAAATCTCGCACATTCTGTGCTTATTTTGTTCGATGTCGTTTGTTTCTCTGGCTTTACCTCAATGTAGATGAGTTAATCGTATCAGCGAGCTTTAAATACAATAGCGGCACTAGTTGCATGACCTTCAGACTAGCCCGCTGCTGCAAACTCCCACGTTCATGACTTAAGCGAAGTTTTAACATCCAAGAACCCAGTGTCCAAAATCCGACACTTCGTTTTATGAAGAGGATTTCATAAACGTTTAGCACATAACAATACTGCAATTATAAATGGCGCAGTATTTTACGGTTCCCGTTTCTCTTTCTTACAAAAAAAATCAGAACAGGACTAATCGTGTAAATTAATATATTTTAAATAACTATCGGTGTTTTGGAGTAATTTCCTGATGCGCACTTCAAATTAATCTTGGTTGCATTTTGTTTAGAACTCCGGTTTGCACATCTTTCAAGGTAAACAACTTTATTCTTGTAAACGGAATGCATCAAGTCTCAGCACAATCCTTGTTTCTTCTGGCTTCCTTATTGTACAGCTGGCTGGATAGCTAGTTGGCATATACAGGAGGCCGGGCTGCCCCTTTGACAAGCCTGAAATTATCAATAAATTTAGGTCATTTCCAATAAGACCAGTTGTGCCTGACGTGGTTATCAAATCTGAAATCTGACCACAGGAACCCCAGATGCATCCCTTTGTTTGATGGGCAGATGTTACTAACGAGGAGGAAATGCTTAATCCTAACACTACTGAAGAGTGAAAATATGGCTTTGCATTTTTACCTCCTACTTTGAATTTTGTTAAAGTTATATTTCTTTTTCTCACACCGACTCATGAACCTGAACTGGATAATCCAGACATATCAATAAGATTGTTTGGGTGTTAATTAAATTAATAATTATTAGTCTTCAAACATAATTCAGGCCATTAAATATTGTTGATATTGTAATTAACCATTGGTGATTTAGGTTTAGTTATTGTATTTGATAAAATGGGGTAGGCTATTGCTTTCAACATAGATGCAGGATAGAAGCTGTGTATATGACCCATTGTTGCCTCTCTGAAAGAGCTATATACTTACTTCCACAGCCCAGCCACAATGCTTCTTTCGAATCTGCATCCAGGCCATTTTTAGTCGGGTTCATGTCTTCACCACCAATTTCAGCAGTGCTTTCAAGATCCAAATGATCTTTGCACAAAACATTTCAAACCTCTCCCTAGTTCTTCAGATAATGTTCTTAAAATTGATGTTCCCCTCATTGTCCATGTGACAACTGGTAGAAAGTTTTTAAAACCTAAAGAACTGCAGATGCTCAAAACAAAAATTGCTGGGAAAGCTCAGCAGGTCTGGCAGCATCTGCAGATGCTTCACAGATGCTGCCAAACTAGCTGAGATTTTCCAGCAATTTCTATTTTTGTTCGTGGTGGAATGTTTTCCATGACTTATTTTAGTAAATATCAAAACCACTTATAATTTTCAAAAACTTAATTAAATATCCTTTTGTACTGTTTTAGAGATAAAGATTCCCTAATCTTTCCTGATATGTAAAACCTCTCATCCTTGTCATAATCTCAGAGAGAAAACAGTGTTCATATTTCAGAATGGTTTTTGAAGAAGGGTAACTGGACTGGAAATGTTTTTTTTCTCTCCACAGGTACTCCCAGACTTGCCAAGTTTCTCCAGCAATTTTTAAACCTTCTCTCTACCTGTTTCTGCACTTATCTTGCTTAATTGAAGTTTAATGACAGTTTTTTTTTCATTTTTACTTAATCGTATTTATTCACATGATTAGAATCTGCAGGAAGGGAGTTGCAGTTACAGAAATAAACATGGAGATTAGTTCCCGCTATTATTACTTGGAAAATAACTGAATTCATGAATAGGGACAATATGGTGACTATCATAGCAAGAAAGCCATCTAGACTCAAAATGTTAGCTTGCTCCCTCTCCCGGGATGCTGCCTGATCTGCTGTGATTTCCAGCATTTTTGGTTTTCAGTACAGATTCCAGCATCTGCAGTAATTTGCTCTGACAGTTTCAATTCAATTCAATACAGCACAGGAACAGGCCCTTCAGCCCATCAAGCCTGCACTGATTCCTACTCCTTACTTAGTCCTGCTACTTATTCCCCATGCACGGTTTCTATCCCTCTGTTAGCCTCCCATCCATGTGTCTATCAAGACATGTCTTAAACATTGCTAACATGTCTGTTTCCCTACTTCCACTGGCAGTGCATTCAAGGTACCCACTACACTCTGTGTGAAAAAATTTACCTGCACTTTACCTCTCAAATTTTCCCCTCTCACCTTGAACCTGTGCCCTCTTATAGTTGACCTTTCCACCCTGGGATAAGGCTTCTGACTATCCACCCTATCTATGCCTCTCATAAGTTTGTAGAGGTCTATAAGGCTATGAGAGGAATAGATAGTTTGGATAGTCAGAGACTTAAAATATTTATAATTGCAATATGCCTTTAACATTAGAGTGTGACCAGCAGGATCTGATTGAGCGCCTTTATGTTTGAATAATACTATATTGACCATTCAAAGTCCCACTCCTCTTAAAAATCCTTATCATTGCTGTGACCTCTTAAATCCATTCCAACCTTGCCCAAAACTCCATGCCTGAATCCCTCCAATCAGGTTTCAATCCTTCTCGAAACAGTATTCAGCGAAGTTATTAATAAAATCCCATGTGACTCTGACAAAGGTAAATGTTCCCTAGTTCCTGTCTCTCTTCTATCATTCTACTATGGAGCCTGTCAAGTCCCCCCAGGATTTTTATAAGTTTCAATAGGATCACCCCTCATTCTTCTAAACTCTAATGAGTATTGACCCAATCTGTCTAACTCTTCCTTGTAAGATAACACCCCTCATCCCAGGAATCAGTTGAATGAAGCTTTTCTGAACTGATTCTTAGTGCATTAAGCTCTTTCTTTAAAAGCTAGACCAAAACTGTACATGATATTCTAGATATGGTTTCACTAATACAACATACAATGCAGGGTTAAAAACTACCTGTAAAAAGTACATATTATATAGAGAATGAGTTTGATGGTAGCAGTTAACTTATTGTCTAGAACTCTGTTGTTGACAGAGTTTTCAATTCAGAAAGACTTTCTGAATATTTCGGTGGAAGAGTTCAAAATGTTTGTTGGAGGCGGGGGATATTTCAAGCTGTTTCTTTTTGGAAATTGATGGCCAGACAGGATGATTTGGCAGAATTACAATGCAATGTTGTGCTTACCCAAAAAATAATCATATTTCACCATGATGACCAAAAGAAATGTTCAGTGATCTTCATGACAAGTCATTAAAATATCCAAATGTTCAATTAAAATTGTATTAAACATAAATAAAATATTAACTGTAACAATAAGACTAAGAATTATTCAGACAAATTACTAAGACTGTTCTATTTGTTCATATGATATGAATTTTGTATTAAGTATCTTAAAAATGTGGAATATTTTATGAATTTGATATTAAAACAGTTTTAAAGTCATATGAACTGTTAAAATCCCTGTTTCATCATTGTGCATTATAATAGGCATTTTTTTGAAGCAAATAAATTAACGTGCTTCAAATTCAGATATTCAGATATGAACATTTTTTGCACACTTCACAAAGTATGATTTTAAACAATCCTAAATATAGCAGCTTATGTGCAATTTCTTTGAGAATATTTAATTAAACTTCGAAATATTTAATTAAACAAATATTATTAAACAAAGATTTACTTTTGGTATTGAATACAACAGAAATTTAACACTGATAATTGGGAAGTTTATTACGTT